TTCTACGATCTTCCTTATTCACTGTCCAGGTTTTGCATCCATATAATACCACACGTAAGTAAAATTTTACTGAAGATAATTCAAAACAGTTGCAATAGTACATCAACAAGGAACTGTCAAAAATTCAAGCCAGATTCAGAAGAGGATGTGGAACAAAGAATATCATTGCTGAAGTCAGATGGATCATGGCTGAAAACACAGAATATCAGAAAGATGTTTACTTGTGTTTTATTGACTATGCAAAGGCTTTCCACTATGTGTATGGACCATGATAAACTATGGGTAGCATTGAAAAGAATGGATATTCCTGAACGCTTAACTGTGTGCATGAGGAGCCTCTGCATAGACCAAGAGGCAGTTGTTAGAACAGAACAAGGGAATACTGAATGGTTTAAAATCAGGAAGGGTGTGCTCCAGGGTTGTATCCCTTCGCCATACTTATTCAGTCTGTATGCTGAGCAAATAATTCAGGAGGTCGGATTGTATGAAGAAGAACATAGCATCAGGATGGATTGGAGGAAAACTCATTAACAACCTGCGATAAGCAGATAATACAATCTTACTTCCTGAAACCAAATAGAACCTAAAATATTTAGTAATGAAAATCAAAGACTAAAGACTACAGCCTTCAGTATGAATTGTACCTCGGTGTAAAAAAACACAAAACCCCACAAAGATCCTCACAGCTGGACCAATACATAACATGATAAATGGAGTAAAGATTGAAGTGTCAAAGATTTCATTTTGCTTGGACCCACAATCAACACTCATGGGAGCAACAATAAAAATTTCCAACAACGTATTGCATTAGACAAATATGCTGCAGGAGACCTCTCTTTAAAGTGTCCAAGTGCTAAAATAACAGTTTGAGGATTAAAGTGTGCCTGACTCAAGCCATGGTAGTTTCAATAGTTTCATATGCATGTAAAAGGTGAATAAGGAATACCCTAGACAAACTGATGCATTTGAATTATGATATTGCAGAAGAATCTTAAAAGAACAAACAATCAGTTTTGGGAGACGTACAGCCAGAATGCTCCATAGAAGCCAGGATGGCAAGACTTTGTCTCTCACACTTCGGATGTGTTATTAGGAGGGATCAGTCCCTGGAGAAGGAGATTATGCTTGGTAAAGTGGTGAGTCATTGAAAACGAGAACTACCCCAAGGATATGGAGGTCGCTGTGAGTCGACACCTAAAAACAACAACAAACACTGACCTGTTATATAATATAATCTTGTATATTGTAAATTCAGATTATTCTTTCTTATTCTTGATTTTTTGCTTGTTTTTGATGCAGAAAAAAGTCACATTAAATGGCTTCTTGGACACACTCATGTCTGATCCTCCTCCCCAGTGCCTGGTCTGGTTGCCCCTTCTGCATCGACTGGCAAATGTAGAAAATGGTGAGTAGTTACTACTGAGCAAAGACAGCTTTTTAAGTTACTGAAATTAACCTATCATGTCTATGGCTATTTAGCCAAGGTCATTGTTTTAGGAAGTCTGTGTAGTAGTTCTTTGGACTCCGACTGTGGCGCTGTAGGGTCAACACTGGACTATGAACCATAAGGTCAACAACATTTCAAACCCACCAGCTGCTCCTCAGAAACCCTATGCAGTGTCACTTCACAGCAACAATCTCTAGATGCTCTTGTTATTTAACTTAACCTGAAATTCCTGAAGACTCGAAATGTTGCTGTTGAGTGTTATTGGGTTTCGACTCATAGCTACCCTATAGAGGTTTCTGAATGGTTTTAAATTAAATGAAGAATAAAGTCAAACATAAAAGCTCAAAAAGAATTTGAGATTTGAAGCTAATAAATAATCAGATCCAAGTAATGGTGTACATGCTACTAGCTAAAGATATGAAAACAACAATTCTTGCTGTAGGTAAAGTTATTTGCTGACTAGTAATCCAGAAAAAATAATGCAAGTAAGAATGTTATTGTTGTTATGCGCCGTGGAGTCAGTTCCCACTCATAGCGACACTGTACAGGGTTTCTGAGACTATAAATCTTTACAAGAGCAGAAAGCCTCATCTTTCTCCTGCAGAACACCTGGTAGTTTCGAACCGCTGACACTGAGGTTAGCAGCCTGATTTGTAACCACTACACTACTCAGAGCTTCCTACAAATAAGAATAAGTGAAGATTAATAGCAAATTATAAAAATAAAAAGACAGCCGTTTTAAAACATGCATTGTCCTCTGAATAAGCAATGTCTCCTCCCTTTCCTGGCTCTTGGGAGACTGGGAGGAGACCTGTATCTGGGGATGGCTGCTCTGGGATGTTGTTGTTGTTGTTGTTGTTGTTGTTAGGTGCCATCAAGTTGGTACCGACCCATAGCGACCTTATGCACAGCAGAACGAAACACTGCCCGATCCTGGGCCAACCTCACTATCGCTGTCACACTTGAGCCCATTGATGCTGCAACTTTGCCAATCCATCTTGCTGGAGGCCATCATCTTTTTCTCTGACCCTTCACCTTACCAAACATGATATCCTTCTCCAGTGACTGGTCCATGCTGACAATATGTCTGAAGTATGAGAGACAAAGTTTGGCCATCATGGCCTCCAAGGAGCACTCTGGCTGCACTTCTTCCAAAACAGATCTATTGGTTCTTTTGGCAGCCCACGGCACTTTCAATATTGTCCTCCAACACCATAACTCAAAAGCATCAATTCTTCCATGGTCTTCCTTATTCACTGTCCAGCTTTCACATGCATATGAGGTTATTGAAAATACCATGGCTTGGGTCAGGTGCACCTTAGTCCTCAAGCTGACATCTTTGTTCTTCAACACTTTAAAAAGGTCTTGTGTAACAGATTTACCTAATGCAATATGTCATTTGATTTCTTGACTGTTGCTTCCGTGAGTGTTGATAGTTGATCCAAGAAGAATGAAGTCCTTGACAACTTCAATCTTTTCTCCATTGATAAGACAATATAATTCATTAAGTAGCCACTCTGTTACTGTTATTATTAAGTGCCATCGAGTAGGCACAGTGATCCTGTATACAGAGATTTCAAGAAGCAGCTAGTGGGTTTGAACCACCGACCTTTAGCATTTAGCAGTCCACTGCTCATCCTACAATGTCACCCCAGTACTCCCCACTCCATTATCCATTCCATTCTTTTAAAGTAACTCAATGCTGTCCTCCAGTTTTCCTTCTCTTCCTCTACTTTCTCCTTTCTTTTTCTTTCTCTCGTTCTGTATTTCTGTAATATTTGCTCACACCCACTGGCTAGTCAGCTGTATTCATCCAGTGTGTTGCTGAGTCTCCCAGCGAACTGTGCTGGTCTCCTGGAGACAGAGCAGTTTTTTGGAAAGACCACTTGGTTTGGATCATTTATATTCCTGCTGTGTAAGAGAGGGGATTAGAGAGAACAAATGGCATTGCAGAGATTTGTGTTGTGATAGGACACCTATTCTCCAACACTGTTTCATTTCTTCCACCCCCACACACATGCTTGAAAAGGACGGTGAGATTCTGAGAATAGATTTAATGCTTCTGTCAGCCAAGACTCACTTCTAAAATTATGTCACACCCAGAAAAATATAATTCTTGTTGAGTTGTATTTTTTCTTATTCTGATTTTTCTTCTGGGTTTTTCTCTCTCTCTTTTTCTGTTTTTTGGTTATTGTTTTGTTTGCTTTTCTTTGTTTATTTCTCTCAGTCTTCCATCCAGTTGAGTGTTCCTACTGCCACAGTGAGAGCATGATGGGATTCCGCTATCGATGCCAACAGTGCCACAATTACCAGCTCTGTCAAGACTGCTTTTGGAGGGGACATGCAGGCGGTTCCCATAGCAACCAGCACCAAATGAAAGAGTACACATCCTGGGTAAGGCAAGGTCCATGCCGTACTTATGATTGGATGTGGGAGCGTTCCTCAAAATTAAGGGGAATATCAAGGATCATGAGATAATTAAGGAACAAACTTACTTTCTACCCCAAGTCCAGCATTCCTTCACTCTCCCCTCTCAGCCTTACTGGGAACTCTTACTTATTATATATGAACCCAGTGTGGCTTCCTGAGACGTAAAGTGTAGGAAAACTCAAATTGTGTTATTTCTTGGAATAGAGATAATTCAGTACTGATTTAGATAACAACCGAACAGCAGGTGTCTTCTGGAGCATAATCTTATTTTCACAATAAGTGAAGGCTTTTTCTAGGTTTTTTACAATTTTCTTTTCTGTGGGAATTGCTTAAATTTTGTTAGATTCTTTTTTCTTAGATTCTGGAATTATGTGATTATGAAATTGAAAAGAAGCAAGCATGGGAGTATGGGCTTTCTGATATCAGTTCATTTTCTATTTCTGCAGGGATGGGAGGATTGTGGTTATATAAGCAAATCATTAGAAAATCCTGAATGGTCACCTTGCTAATGAGGACCTGGGAGTGTCTGTCCATGTGGTAGATGAGATGTATTCCCAGGGGACTCACTGTGTCAAGAAAATGAGTTAGACGAACCATCTCACTTGGTTGGTTGTTCTCATGGTTTACTGTTTGCTGATTTCCTTTTCAGTTAAACCCTAGCAATGTAGTTTGTTTTTTGTGGCATGTACCATCAATCCTGGCCAGTACCTTTTAGAAAGTGTGATTACCCAAAAAAAAAGCAACTTTGTATGATCTTTCTTATAGCTTAATGTATTTAAAGTCAATCTCTAGTTTCTTACAGTTTAACTGATGGTTCTTTACAGAAAGAAAATCTTCAAACTATATGTTTTAAATCAGAATGTTCTTTCTAAGAATTATTAAGAACTGAGACTCAGTACAAAGATACTGGTATTGCCTGTAAGATTCGCAATTCAAATACCAGCTCTTCACTAAGACAGTGCATACTGAGGGCTCCATGCCTGACTGAGTGCTGCCCTCATTTTTGGTTATGTCATATGCTGACCATAGAAATATTAGCACAGATCATGAAATATAATTTAATAAACCATAGAGGAGTTAACACTTTTTATTTCCTTATTGTTAACATATTACCAAACTTTAAACTTGTTCTATCCCAAATCTCATTGTATTAGTGTTTAAAGACCGATCATATTTCATTTTATAGATATGTTGAAGCCTATTTCTTAGGAGTTGTGAATTACATGAACAGGGTACGGTCTTTACAAACTAGAATCCAACACCTCAAGACAGAGGGACGTAGAGTCTGTGGGTTGAAGAATTGTTTTTGATGCTCCAAGAATCACATCTTCTAACAAAAACCAAAGAGGGACTTCTTAATCACTGATCCTATTGTTTAGTTTTTAAACAATGAGGACCAAATTCACTTCAGTCTGATAGTAACTATGGACTGTATGACTCAAAAGAAGTGACAAAATTATAAATGACTTCTCATGGAAAAAGGAAAAGTTTGATTTAAAAATGTATTTAATTGGTAGACTCTTTTTCATCAGTTTGGGTATAAAATTTGAAGATAAACATTCCATCCACCTAAATGAAAGAGAACTAGTATGGTGCTCTAAAGGAAAGAAAACAACTTTACATTCTAAAGACTCATATTTAAATTCTACTTTTACTTAAAACTGGATGCTTTAGGCCACAGCTGAAGTACCAACCCTTCACCTGTTGTTGTTGTAAAGTGCCGTCGAGTAGATTCCGACCCATAGCAACCCTGTATAGGGTTTCTTAGGAGCAGCTGGAGAGTTTGAACTGCTAACCTTGCGGTTCAAATGGCTTTGCAGTCTGGGACATTAACCCACAACATCACACCAGGACCCCACCCTTCACCTGGAGCCCTGTACAAACTCATGTTCATCTCCCTCCTCCCACACCTATATCCCCCTCCCCAGAACTTTGTGTGTACTTCAGCTAGAGCAATGCTTCTGGAATCTGGTCTGATTTGTCAGCCCTATGATTTAACAGCCTCATTCTTCCCTCTGCCCTGAGATAAAGTCCACAATCCTCTGTGTGGATATAGAAACCTTGGTGATATGTCTTCTGCTTTCCTCTTGGAATGGGGGATCTCTTTTTTCTCCCGTTGCTACTTCATCTGGAATTGGCTTCACTTTCCCCTGGGTTTTTATCAGGAGGACTCTTGTTGGTCCATTAAGCCCCATGTACCATAAATGTTTGCACTGATTACAGCACTTACTAACACTAAACAGTAGGAGGCTGGGTAAGCTGGTGACTTGTGCTAAGTCTATCCCTAGCATAGAACAAACTTCCTGTCTTACAAACCTTCCCCATCTTACAGTGACACTATAGGACAAAGAACCGCTCTATTTCTAGGCTGTAATTTTCACAGAAGCAGATTACCAGGTCTTTACTCCTATGGAGTGACTAGTGGATTTGAACTGCCCATCTTTTGCTTTGCAGCCCTGTGTCAATCTCTGTGCTAACAGAGCTCCTTTCCTGTCTGATACTTCTTGTTATTGTGAAGTGCTGTCTAGTCAGTTTTGACTCATATTGACCCTGTGTAGTGTTTCAGAGGAGCAGCTATAGTAATTACTCAAAAAGGATTTCTTGAATGAATGAATAACTACCTGTGATGACAGGCAAAACATCTAATAAAGTGTTAACATGAATGTCCTTTGTTATTATATTTACTTTTCTTGTTCTTTCCAGAAATCACCTGCTAAGAAGCTAACTAATGCATTAAGCAAGTCTCTGAGCTGTGCATCCAGCCGTGAACCTTTGCACCCCATGTTCCCTGACCAGCCTGAGAAACCTCTCAACTTGGCTCACATCGTGTGAGTATCTCTGCCCTCCAGTTTTAGTGGCATGTTTCTTGTCACTGCCACAGAGCCAGATCCATACCAACTCAATTTCCTATCACTTGTCAAAGACCAAGTTTGAAAATCAAAGGCAAAAAAAGAGAAAAATATTTTCTTGTTAAGATAGATAATACTAGCTAATTCACCTAGCGTTGCAAATATTTATAATACATGGTATAACATGGATGTTATGTGGTAGAGGATTTTGCACAATTGGAAGTTAACAAGCAGTGAAATTACATAAAGTATGTCTTAGCACCATATGTGTGTTCAGTACCAAATATGAAAGCCCTTCATTTCATTTCTCTGCAAACCAGTCACCTAGAAATTGCTTTAAAAAAAAAAAAAAATCTCAAACTGCTTAACTTTAAAAGTATCATAGCCTAAGCAGGGGACAGTTAAAGAGAGCTATCGGTGGGGAAAGTCGTCACAGCAGTCACAAATGAATAAAAAATAAATGTCAATATATTTTTAAATATTTTCTCTCTCCGATATACGATAGAATGAATGTAAAACTAATGTTCTCCCATGTAAACTATCACATAATTCACAATAAAACATTTAAGAAAAAAAAAATTTTCTCTCTCCAAAGTACATAAGGAGCTCTGGTAGCGTAGTGGTTACAAATCAGACTGCGAACCGCAAGGTCTGTAGTTTGAATCTACCAGTGGATCCGCAGAAGAAAGATGAGGCTTTCTGCTCCCAGAAAGATTTAGAGCCTTGGAAACACTATACAGGATCACTATGAGTCAGAACTGACTCAACAGCACACAACTACAACCACCACCAAAGTAGCTGTGAGTTTGAAGGAGGTTGTCTAGGGAATGGCACTACCAACTCAGAGAAGCCTCATGCCCAGACTTCCTCACTGTCAAAGAAGAGGCTCACATAGAAGAAAAAGCACCCTGGTGGCCTAATGGTCAAGTACTTGGTTGCTAGCTAAAAGGTTGGCTGTTCAAACCCACACAACTGATTTTCAGGAGAAAGCCCTGGCGAGCTCTTCCTGTAAAGATTACAGCCGAGGGCAGTTCTCCTCAGTCACATGGGGTCACTATGATTTGAAAATGACTTGAAGGCACACAACAACGTAGAAGAAAGCTTCCTTGGCCTCTAATGAAGCTTGTGATTTGCTTCTGTGAGCAATTAACAATTGTGTAGTTGCAGGTCCCTGAAAGCCTGTAAAATAGGTGGGTGTCCCTCATTATGAACTGCTTTTGATTTCTCAGAGTTCAGAGGGACCTACTGCCTGGTGTGGTGCTGTGGGTTAATGCACCAGACAGCAAAGTCATTTGAACTGCAAGGTCGGCAGTTCAAGCTCACCAGCTTCTCCTCAAAAACCCTATACACGGTCACTATGGGTCAGAACCAACTCTACAGCACTTAACAACAACAACTGCATTCAAGTTGGTTTCTAAGGAACAGCTGTTGAGTTTGAACCACCAGCCTGTGGTTCAAACTGACCTTAAGTTCCAGTGCTTTATCCTACAGCGTCACACCAGGACTCTGGAGTAAATAATTGTTGGTGTTAAGTGCTGTTGAGTTGATTCCGACCTATAGCAACCCTGTATAGGATTTCCAAGGAGCAGCTGGTGAGTTTGAACCACCGACCTTGCAGTTCAAAGCGACTTTGCAGTCCAGCGCATTAACCCACAGGCCACACTTCTGTTTGTTCTTTAGTAAATTTCAGGGGATCACTGTCTTTAACAATACACATAGTGTAACAGCTCCTATTTCTTAGCTTACATGCTGGCATTGGCTAAGGAGCAAAAAAACAATAATAATAATTAGTGTAAACAAATTCTGTAAAATGTGGTTAACTTATTTTTTTTAATTCTGTCCCTAAAAATAAGCCTTAAAATAAGCATTTGTTAGGGAGATATTTAAAAAAAAAAAAAAAGAAAGAAAATGAAAAAATCTTTGCAAGTGTCCTAAAGGAAGCTGCGTCATACAGCTGTTCTGGTACTCTGACCTTCAGAAAAGGAGACATTACTAAGGTCTCAACTTTACTTCCAACAGCCAATTAAAGAGAATCACTAAGTTCCTAATAAATGAAGAAATCAAAGTGAAAGCAAGTCTGTGCTCTCTGAGCTCTAGCCCAAGTCATTTTCTCCTAACCCTGTGAGCAGGTTCACCCCAAAAGGAGCATTCTAGGCAGGCTGCTTGGAGTGATGAAGCCAGTGAATGGGAACGGCCCCGCTAGCTCTAAGAGCTTTACAGTAAACAGCCATAGGATGCTGCTACCGTCCACTTTGAGAAAGTGAGGGGCTTTGAAGTGGAGATCAATTTCACAATGAGTCACACAATATTATACCTCACAGGTCTTGCACCCTGTAAGGATGTGTGCATGTGTGTGCACGGGAATTATACTAAAGAATAATAACTTTTACATGTAAATTATGGGGCAGTAGGATCTGATGTGTTATCCACGACTTAACTGAGGGCCATATATATACAAGAGTCTCTTAATCTAGGTTCCATGGTAAAATTTCAGGATTCCTTTACAATTCTATACAAAATAGTATTTATTTATGAACTCTGTGTATGTGTTTTATGGAAAAAGTTGCACATTCTTAACCAGATCTTCAAAATACTGATCTATTCTCACTGATAATATACTTTTCCAAGGTGAATGTCTTAATTTCAAAATGCAAATTGTACAAAACATCTAATTATTGACTATTTGGATTGGATTAAGAAATTCTGGATGCAGAATATTCCATCTGTATTAAAAATAAAAATGTATTAAAATATACATTTAGCTATAGAAAATTTTCTCTCTTTTCTTTTTTTATCCAAAATTTTCTGTTCTAAACAGTTACCCATATCATTTGAGGGGAGAGGGGATTTCCTAAGATCTTTCATTTTAAATTAGTCTGTTCGTTTAGTTATTCATAGGCACAGAAGGCCACTTAAATAAAAAATAAATGTCAATATGCTTAAATCTTTTATAAATAAGGATACCCTTATAATCTGCTATAATGAATATGTATCTGGAATTAATAAATGTTCAGACTTCTAAATTACATGGTTTTTGTTGTTGTTAAGTGCTGTCCAGCTGGTTCCGACTCATAGCGACCCTGCACAGGGTTTCCAGGGCTGTAAATCTTTACGGGAGCAGAAAACCTCATCTTTCTCCTGAGGAACCACTGGTAGTTTCGAACTGCTGACCTTGAGATTAGCAGCCCAATTCATAACCATTACGCTACCAGAGCTCCTTAAATGTACATGGTGCTATAGAATAAGTACTAGACTGCTAACCACAAGGCTGGTCATTCAAGCTCACCAACCACTTGTTGGAAATCCTACGTAGGGTCACTATGAGTCAAAACCAACTCAACGGCACTTAACAACAAATGTACATAGATATAATTTTGTAAAATTCAGTAATAGAATATGAAATGTCATAGTATATTATTTTACCATAAGCCATTTTACCTTTCTTATACAGTGCTGTACAATAAAGATTCTTCTCCTGTAAAGATTTACAGCCTCAGAAACCCTGTGCAGGGTCACTATGAGTCAGAACCAACTCCACAGTACTCAACAACAACAACAAAATCTCTCTACACCCACTTAATGTCCTTAATACATTATACCTAATATAACCAAAAGCATAAAGCAGATGGAACATCACCATAATACAAAAGTACTTATGGGAACAGAAAGCCTCATCTTTCTCCCGCAAATCCTCTGGTAGTTTCGAACTGCTGACCTTGAGGTTAGCACCCTGATTTGTAAACACCTACGCTGCCAGCATTTCTCAAGCTGGGGGAACTGAAGAAAAAA